TTTTCTACGGGATTACAAACATTTGCGATCTGATATATTATATAAGAAAAACAAACAAATTTTCATACTCTGTTAATACAGGATTCTCGAAGCTATTCATGATATGTTTTTCAACAATCACTATTCCATGTGGGATAGATAAATAGAAATTTAGACTCTATTGCTCCCTTCTATTTGAAACAAGAAGCCGTGTTTTCTCATCTATTGCCTGCCCGGCTGTTTATTGTACACGAACCCATTATTCGACAAAGTTGATCAAAAACACTGTCTTAGCAAACCAAATGAATGTAGAAAATTTATATGTGATGCGACTATTTACTAAACATGAAGAAGGCTTCTTCATAGCAGGAGTGTGTAGTTTTTAATTTTCGTATCACTTAAATTGGAATAAAAAAATAATAATATGACAATAAATTTGCTTCTGTAAGACAACTGTCTATATATGCTTTTTCCATGTCTTCCGTAAATAAGAAGAAAATTTTTGATGCTTTGCGACAAAGACAAAGCAGCGGAATATGCACACCATACCATATAACGTGTGTATATCATATATTCAATACGCTATGTACGAAACATACGAATAGTTGTTGTGGGATCATAGAGGATTTTTGCTTTCCTGGTACCAGTGTTGTTTTTGAAGGTTGAATTGCCTATGTAGTTTATAAGTGACGAGAGAAAACTCTTCTTTTTTCTTTAAGCAAATATGTTTTTAGTTCTGGATGCTTGCATGCATCCTTTTGCCGATCTGGTCCGTCCTCAATGCCAATTTGCGTCTAAGAACTCCCACACATTTTCGGATAGAGCATAGTGGTAGTTATATTCAGCATCACCTAGTAATTGTACGCTCTTTTCGAAAACTAATTCGCGAACTAATTCAATGTCCTTAAAGTAGACGCTCTCCTGTTAATTTTCTTTAATTCTTCTACGTAAGGAATTTTGTGCTCTTTTGATATCAAAAAAGCTTTAAGAATAATTTTCTTCTTCAATGCTATTTCTATTTCCCTTTTCTTTTTCATTAAAATAGAACACCGATCAATAAGTCCCGAGACTGAGCCATAGATGTTATCTCTAATAAAACAAAACCCACAATATTCTTTAGAGAGTGGAAAACCTCAAACGTCGTCTGTCAATTCAATTCCAATTTATTGCCATTAGTTGTTTAGGACTTCAAATGATTTTAGTGACATTACTTTTGTTATATTCACGAAAATGGATCCATGCAAATTTCGTACGTTAATTAAGCATTGTTTTTGGGAAAGGGAAAAATACCGATCAAAACCGTGGGTATTGGCTTGAGAATTCTCAAGCCATCTTTAGAATACTTTTTCGTTGAAACCAAAAACTTGTCGGTGGTTGCACCGTTGCACCAAGTTAATATCGAATTTAAGTGTTTATATCAAAAAACATCAAATGAATCCTGAAAATTATTCTCGATAATCGAAAAATGAAGTTAGAAGACGTAATACTCGGGGCAAAATGGTAAATAAATTGAAGTTCGATATGCTGCCTCACCCATCCAGCTCTCTAAGGATGGTCTTCAGCGATTAATCTTAGCTTCCATGACTCAATAGAACGCTCCAGAGTAGAACATTTGTATTAGATAATAGTGTCCCTTGGCGAATCTTAGAGGTCTTTACAATTCAATTCTATAAAAAGAACAATCGATTGATTTTCTCTGAAGAGATTCACTCTTCGAGGACTAACGAGCAAAAAAAAGCAAATGTGTACTTTTTACTTATTCCCGGGAATTATTGATTGATATTCTAAACATTAAAAAAAAAAAAAGGGAAAAATTTCTTTTTTACATAATATTTCAACTTGCGTTGCACTTCTTTTACCGCATTCATTACGTTTGCATTGCTTGAACTAGCATTTTGTAATATCAAAAACGATATTTACAGCAAACATCGACAATAAAAAAGTATCGATAGTTTTGAAGGAGTAACGCATATACATTATGTGAACAACCGCAGCGACATCATAAGAACAGTAACAGTAATGCCATTGCGAAATGCCAATTTTCATTTTACATGATGGCTACTTATGCACTTCCGGGATGATGGAAATGTTGAAATTCTCAGTACGTACGTATGTACATAGGCATAGAGTTAAGTTTATCGTTTACATAAAAGTTTGTATGAGTGAAAGAATGAAGCCACAGCGTTGATAATGTTGATAATGACGATTGTGTGTAAGGTGGTTTGTGTTGTTAGCTATATATATATATATGTATATATGTATATATGTATGGTCTGTGGTGTTGGTCGTTTAGGTTTTTGATAATAATGAGGATAACGATAATAATAATGATGATGTTGTTGATGATGATGATGACGATGATGATGTTATTGATGATGATGATGATGATGATGATGATGATGATGATGATGACAATGCAGGCGATAGAAAAGTCGGCTTTCAAAACTATTACATACACATGTTCAACTGGTCGATCATTATACAAAAGTCCTATTCTTTAGACAGCAAACATATATGCTAAGGTTTATACAACAAAAATGACAATAACAATAACAACAAGAACGGAAAACCAATAACAAAAAATTTCTAACTGATGATGAGTTCAATGACAGCTATCAAACAAAAAGCACTGAATTTTGCAAGCGAAACAGACAATTGAACCAAACTCTGGACAACCAGTCAATTCAAATGATCAGTAGTTAGTTATGTACACATGTATGATGATGCCCAGGTATGATGGCGGGCAAAGGTATGTATACTTTTATAATCTTAGTGCAGGATTTAATTTTGTTACTGCTGCTGCTGCTGCCGTTGTTGTTGTTGCTGTTTGCTGTTTGCTGTTATTGATGCTGTTGTTGTGTGTTAAAATATTCACATTAAAAGCAACGGTGTTTTCGATTTTTATCAAAACATATTTTTCTTCGTTACTATGAACTCACTCATCCTGTAACAGATATTTTATAATAAATACATACATATTTACATACTTACAGCTGCTGTTGCTCCGTATGTGTTGTTCGTCCAAATGGCTTAGATCATGCAAGAAGGTGGTAATGATTCGATATACGCTTATAGCGTAGTTACGTCTACTGTTATTGCTGGCTGTCAATGTTGATGGTGGTTATTGTGGTGTGGTTGTAAATAAAGAAAAAAAAAGAGAAAAAAAAAGGTGCAATTATTAGCCCGATTGCCACCATCATCACAGTTAACGCCATTGCCTTTGCCATTGCCAAAGCCGTGGCTCTAATGGACGTTAATTGAAAATGAAAATACTTTGCGGTTACCACATAACTGTGATTATGCAAATTCACCTCATACATGGCTTATGTTCTTATATACATATTATGCTTTCTAGTCTTTTGCGTGTGTGTATACACACACATATACACACACATACGCACACATACATACACACACCTTTATCTAGTATAACATTGTTGGCTCCTATTATTTTTAACATTTTTTTTGTTTTTGTTTTGTTTTGTTTTTTTTTTTTTTTATATTAAACGCGAGGGTGTTGCAAGTGCATTACGTGCCTACTCGGCCAATAAAAACGGTTTTGCATCAGTTACCATGTTCCTGTGCGATGCCTCTGTCTTCACACAAATGCGCACACTCCTGCTTACCCACTGCTTCTTTTTGTTTAGCTTATTTGCACCTTTTTCTGTGTCTTGTTAGCTTCTAAAGTAAAGTAACGAAATTAACTTTGTTCCTATCCTGCATCAGTCCCTGTCGGTGCTGCTCATTCACTGCATGCGTGTGATATTGTGCGTGTGTATGTGTATGGCCATTGAACTTGATAGCATGTTGCGGTTCGAAAACTAGAAAATAAAATAAAGCAATCGCATGCAAATTAAATTTTAGCAAACGCTTACGGTTTACCATTCATTTAAACACGTGTATGCATTCGCTAAAGTTAACCAAATGCTTACCATAGTTAGTCTCTCTCGTTTTTAGATTTTATTTTCAACCAATGCTTAGTAATTTTCGCGTCTCATATATTAAGAGACCTTTCCCATGGTCCACAGTTCCTACTTAATTTATTGAATCTTGCTTTATCTACTTGGAGGTATTTTACTCTTCAATCTAGTCGATCGGAAGTATAAAGTTTCGTGATATTTTTGTTGAAAAAAAAATCAATGCTTGCTTACTCAAGAAATTGATAAACGATATTTATTTAGTGCCCATCTATTTTGTGAATAAATGCACAAAGTATGGATTTAAAGGCTCTCAGGTAACATAGATCGATATGCTCACCAATATTGAAAACTAACCCACTTCAGATGTGAACCCGCGACAATTGAGTTATTAGTTGCGATCCTTTGCCTATTCGACTGCACCCCTGTCTCTATCTTTCTCTCTTAGCTCAGCTTTTCTCCAACAGGCATCCCGCGTTCCACGTATAGGGGATATGTCCTGTGTGTTTGGTCATAATTAAAAGCAAAATAAAAAAAAAAAAAAAATTGCAAACCACTGTTCGTCTAGAATAAGAGCCTGATACAGTCAGATACTCAATTCAACTCAGATTTATTTTGTCGATAGTGTCGCAAATTGTCAAAAGTGCGAAAGATATGTTACTTGAGGATTAAATAGGAACCTTCTATACTTTAAAATGCCTGATAGCTGTCTGGACGCGAGAAAGTTTTAAAATCATCTCCAAAGTTCTCCAACATTGTGTCTCAAAATGTTTTTGGTGATTCTTTGCACTTCGTCGTTGCCTTTATGGTGCGACCCATTATCCTCAAATGAAAATATTTCTTATTCAAACATTCAAAAGTCGCCTGAAAAGAAATTGCTTGTCTGACTGATTGAAACCACTATTTATTGTGCATTAAACTCATATTCCTGACATTCTCGTTACATACGTCCCTGAAGAAATGTTCAAACCTAATTAATGTAAAAATAAAGCATCCATCCGCTTAATGAAAATGTATATATATTTTTTAAAATATTCATTAGATTAATATTAATATTTTACAAATAGTTCCGACGAGAAGCGTGCTGCGTGATCTCTTAATATATCAATCACTTCGGTGATAGGTGAGCGCAGCTTTCCCTTTAAAGAGTTCAATATTAATGGCAGCTTCTATAATCCATTCATCCTGCTCGATATCGTAACGTTCGACAGTTGTTACAGATTTACCGTTCTTGCCACCAAACAAGTAAATCTCCTTCTCAATGATCAATGCTGATTGACCCCATCTGCCAACGTTGATAGGGGATAACATTTCCCATCTATTCGAGCGTACGTTAAAACGTTTACACAAATTTGACCGGGACTGAGGCCATCCTCCAATGCAATATAGCGAGTGATCATAAGCGACCAATCCAAAGTGACATACAAATTCGGTATTATTATCGAGTTTATACCAACGACCCTCTCGCGGATCAAAACGATTAATACAAACTTTTCTATTCTGTACGTCTCCCAAGCTATAAATACTATTTCCAATTACGTCCGCCTGATTGCCCATAAAATATTTCGAAGGAATATCCGGGCAATTATACCATTTATTTGTTGTTGGATTGTAATATTCGACGCTTGGATTACGATCGCCACCGATCACATAAACATGATCTTTGTATATACAAGAGCCATGATCAGAATGAGCATAGTTCATAGGTGTAACCTGGGTCCACTGATCAATAATAGGATCATAACGTTCTGCCGTTTTCAATACTCTCTCTCCATTGTATCCGCCTGTGCAATAAGCAAATCCGTGCAAAGAAACTATAGATATATTGCGTCTACCCTCTCTCATTGGGGAGATGGTAGACACTTTTCCACTGTATATATCATACATTTTGCATGTTTTAAGTGGCCGCCATGTTTTATCTGCCCCACCAACGAACACCACATGAGGCGTGCCGTAACGTTGGTGAGTTCTTCTCGTGCTCTGAAAACTGTCCAGTGAACAATCCGTTCCGCTATCGGTCGAAACACCTCTGCACTGGATATTATGCTTGAACAAAGGCTCAGTGAGAATATGACTATGGAAGAAATTACTTCGAATGTTTGGTAAATTAATATAACCTAATAGTTCGGCGAGATGAAATTTCCGAGCTTCCGGTTCATGCTTAATCCACTTCAATACACTTCGATAAACATTTTCTTCGAATTGCACATACAAATCGTCGTGTGTTATTAACGCCTTAAACTGAAATGAAACATTAAAAAAATTGATTCAATTTAGAAATTCTTTGCATTATCAGATTATCAGAATAACTGATAAAACATATTTTTTAACTCGCATTCCTCTTAACGACTTACCTCCTCGAAGGGCAAATGTAGAAATCCATCCAAATTAATCAAACGCGGAAAGTATATTAATATATATTTGTCGCAATGGTTGAGAACTTCCTCGCACGAGTGTACGGCTACAAATTTTATAAACATTCATAGACTAAGAAATCTTAAGCAATGTAGTCAAACTCAGACTTACTAGCAATTCTTCGTATAGTAAAGCAATTCGTTAGTTTTACTTTACTTTTAAGAAATTGTTCACATTGATGCCTCACCCAATCGATCTGAAGTAAATTCGCTGTAAAAATAAGCGATTCAACGGATTCTTCAGTGATTGTTATCTTGCCGCTATAGATATACTCGATAATTGCTTTCAGTGCAGGCGCCTTCACATCCATAAATTTGACTTTTCCTTCTCTATTTTCCTTTACATCATCTGAAAGAGAGTCTTTTTAAAATTTGCAACGCAATAATCACTTACTGAATGCACTTACGCTGAAGCATCGCTGCGAAATAAGGAGATGCAATTACGATTAATACTCTGTGAACGTAAATCGATTGACCCTCCACTTCTAAAATGAAGTCACAATGCTATGGAATCGAATAATCTTACGTTAGAGACTCTAAAATTACTGCTTGTATAATTTTGGCCTTTGTTCTTACCTTCTCTTCAAGGCGTAGTTTATTTAAAGAATCAAGCATAGTTTGATCGTAGTTTGGATTGCAATATGTCTTTAAATCAACTTGTTCGCAATTATTTGCTTTAGCCTCGGACCTAATCGTAAAATACAAAAATATATTAGAAATTAAGAGGTGCATGCAGCAAATGGTATTTTCTATAAAATTTATTATGCCACCCGTTAAGTTTCCTCAATCCATAGCATGCTGTAGCATATAAACTAAACTTGAACATAATTCGGAAGGAGATTAGCACAAACAAATTACTCCATAGGAAGGAAAAAATTCTCAATAAAATTAAATTATTATGATTATTATTATTATTATTATTATTTTTAATAATTTAGGCAAAGAAATAATTTCTAAGACCAGTTAAATTAACATCTAAGACTATCGGCTTCATTGAAAACTGATTGTTGAGTTGTTACTCATTCATTGTTAAATAATGTAAAATGCTTTCCCCGAATTCAGTGAATTTCGAAATTTAAAACACTTGTGTGAACGAATGAAATCTGACTGCTTTTGCTCAGAAGCTAGAGAAACAGACATCAAAGCATTTATAGCTTATATTGGCCTCTTATCCTTAGAGTAAATAATTAATTGGTTTCTTACTCACGAGCTCGACATTTTGTGATACGACACTGATTGACTCGAGAAATTGTTGCAAATTAATTGAGTTTTTGCTGGTTCGCAAGGAGCACTCGACTGTCGTCCAATGAATTTCAAGTGATAATTTTGCTAGTTTTTTGCCGAGTGCAAGCTGAGGTCCTCACTTCACAAAGTCAAATATTGTACTGAATATTATGTGGAAGGAAACATTCTCGTTTGTTGTTTTCTTTGTAATTTGCATCTTTGTCCGAATTAAGGCAAAATGTCTATTTCTGTACAATAAATAGGCAGGTTAAGGCTAAATTATCGAGGCACCTAAAAATTCCTCTTTGATTGCGTATTTTCGTGGGAATTTCTTAAAACATTTGTTTCACTAAGTGCCGACATCTGTACTAAACAGAAAATCTGTTACTCTTACCTTCGTATCGGCAAAAGTGACAGGGATTTCTAGTTTATTTTGTATATTTTACCTGATTTCTGTGAGTTTTCTACATCTACATCTCTTTTATACCTAAGTTAACTTCAAACGAGTGATTTTCTTTGCAAAGGCAAAGCATAAGCGAGTCCCAATTTTTGAACTTTGCCACAAAACGGGACTCGCTGTTCAGATGAAAGTCGACGATTGAAGTAAGTATCATTCGAAAGAAATCATAAGCACGGCGAAAATAGGTGGAGCGTATCCAGTTTCAGCGGTGGAAATGTTTCATGAAAGGATTCTTTCCGATCAGGCATCATCGTCGTCATGCTGAAAAATCACGTTATAATGCCTTTTGATCTACTGCGTCGTCTTTTCCGCCCATCTGAATAAATTATTCTTGATCGCGTACCTTCGGTTTTCTTTATTGAATTGGAAAAATACTATATATCTACCTAATTTACTTAACATCTAAACATACAAGGCAGGAAAAGATCTTGCAAGTCTCTCTTTGTTTGCTTTGCACAAAATTTCTCATGCTCGGAATACGGAAAACTGCCTCGCTTAGATTTCAAAGAGATCACTCATATTTACCTAAGGGCTTTAAAATTACAATTACATGCTTGTTTGAAAGTTAGATAAGCATTCCGTAATTTTTACTTAATTGTGCCGATTTTTTAGAAAGAGAAAAACGTGGCTGTCTTGATAATGTAGACAATGCAGAAACCTAACATACAACTAAAGATGCTATCGGTGATTTGTTTTGCATATATATCTCAATCATGAAAAGATCTCAATTTGACGAAGACACGAACAATTGTGAAAATGGCCGCACTGAAGCCTACGCATGATGGCCTATTAAATGAATTTAAATAAAATTCCTGCCGTTACTTACCGCCCTATGTATCTATAGTCATCTCATTTATTTCATATTCGCCTCATGTCATTGTATAGATCACGGTTTGCACACATGTAGAAACCATCCAGATATTCTTCGTTCCTAACATTTTATATAATCTGTAGTATATTTCATATAATCCGTCAGTCATTAGTGTCACACCAACATGTGCTTTTCAATTGACTTAAAAAAAGAGTTGAAGATATATTAAAAGATTCCAGTGTCTCTGCGAATTGCAAACCTATCAAAAGAAGATTCATTTACTTTTCCCCTTCACATGATTTCATCGGTTCTTAAACTATAGAGGCCTTCAGGTATCTGCCTTTAATTGCACGCTGACCCGATAATCGGATTTATTTGCAAGTTAAGTCGAACTTATTATTAGTTGTTCATCGCTCCTTTTTTCTTATGAAACATTATACAGTCAGCCATGCCAGTAGCCCTAAAGCGTTCTCTTTAGATTTTACAATACTTGCTGGTTATAACAGTTTTAATGAAATGAAAGGTTGTTCACACTTCCAAGTAACTTCTCGATAGCAATTAAACGCAGCAGTAAGCAGTATTTCTGCTTACTCTAAATAACTTACTTTGTCTTATTTTGAATATTATTTTCTCGAAATAGGTAACGCACAGTAATGTTTATATTAACCACACATTGTTTCGTTCAGTGTTCAGCTTACCTTCCAAATCATTTTGCGAACTTCCGAGTTGCTTGAATTCGCGGCTCATAGACGACGAAGTGCGGTTTGTTATTTATCTATTTCTGTATCCACTGTCCATTTGCTCTCTTCTCTCCTGTACTTGCACAGGTCTATTGACACTAGAGGCTTATCGTAGATTAAGATTTGCTGGAAATTATTCTTAAAATTACATTTTCTTACCCTAAAAAGTCAAGTTAGTCCTAAAGGTACTTGTTGCACATTCACCCTAGAATTTCAATCTCACATTATGTTTAACTTAAATTTTTGATTTTTATTTGGAAACTATTTACGCCATTCTATGAAACGCTGAAGATTGGACATTTTACTCAAGGATCTTATTACATTGTGAACCTTTTTTATATATCACTTGCTCTTTGGGAAGTAAAAAATTCCAAAGAGAATGGAGAAAAGCCAGCCTTAATAGATGCATTTGGGGAGTAGAGAAAATGGTTATTATTCTAAATAACGGTAATTATTTTGCTTGGACTAAAATTAGTGATTATTTTTGCTTGATTGAAAGAAAAAATTTATCCATCGATAGGTACATACATGCATTCACATTTATTACGGTAAATTTAACCAGGCATACTATACTATATTCTGGTTTTTTTTTTTCTCTAATTTTTTTGTTTTTTTTTTTTTTTTTACTTAGTTTTTGCATTTTCGTAAATGATTTATCGAAATTTAATGATCAATACGATGATGTTTCGTGCGAACGGGCATAAACACTCAGTCAGTCATTAGAATTAAAGCAAATTTTGCAGAAGATTACCAACTGATTATTGACCGCACCGACAAGAAGGTGAAATACCGCACACACTTACATATATATATTATATATATATATAAAACAACGGTAGGTAATATAAATACAATACACCAACGGTTTTTTTTCTTTTTTTTAGTTTGCATGTAACTGAAGGAAATTCTTTTTGTGTTGCTGTTGCACTTAAATTTTATTTAGTTAGTTAGGAAAAATTGCATGCAATACCTACTACCAGCACATAACCGTTCCCGAGGATGAGGAGTTGACGATGACAATGATGACGATGATGATGATGATGATGATGATGATGATGACGATGCTGATGACGATGATGGCGATAGTGATGGTGCGATGATGCAACAACAACCTGCAGAAAGATGAAAAGACTAAATTCTAATGCAATTAAGCAAAGAAAATGAAATGTTATGCATGAAGTTGGACATAGCGCGTTTAAATGTATGTTTATATGTTTGTCTTCATGTGTATGTGTGTTTTATGTTTATATTTGAGTGCAAGCATCCATTTGGTATAGTTTGGTTTTAGTTTAAAGATGATTTTCATGAATTTAGATGTATACCAATATTGTGTAGATGTATGTTAAGTATCCTTGAAAATGTCAGGTCCCATAAGACGACCGAATAGAATAGAGATGCTAAAGTGTTAAGAATAGAGTAAAGAGTTCATATAAAAATCCTCAAAACAATATGTAAAGAAAATAACCGAGCTTGCATGCGTTTAATGGTAGTTTCCTGGTCATACATGCATACATGCACACATGCACACAAGCTCACTTATCTATGTTTCGTTTATGAATAACAAGCGCAGTACAGAAGTTATGAAGCTGCACTTCTTCTGTTATGTTAAGATGGTTCGGATTTCTTAAAAGAAAAAAAAGAAAAAAAAAATAGTGTGCGTGTGCGATAGTAATGGCATTGCATGTTATACGGTAAACGGCAGCTAAAACAGCAGGTGGATATTTAGTCTTTGAATATCTTGGCAATGAATAGACAAACAAACAGACTTACAAACTATCTTCAGCTAGTTACCGCTTGCCCCCCATTTCATCGGCCATTCTCGCGTTAAACATTACCAATGAAGCAAAAAGTTAAACAAACTATAACCAATCAAATAAGTTAACAACAACGGCAAAAAGTGCAAAATACCCACCACTCCGCACGCTTTAATGTGTTAAATACAACAGCGCAGCAATATTTATAGTATCCTCACAAACAAAGCATATTACATTATAAGACCATTAAAAAAGCGGTGGATGAAAAGTGAGTCTAAAATATATTCAAACATATAAAAACAAAAACAACTAAAACGACAACAATAACAACAACAACAAGATGCGTGCATTAACATAGAGACAGTGATCTTGCATAAATTCTAACAAATGTTTGTAGCAGCAGCAGCAGCAGCATCAGCAGGTGTAGTTACCGGTGCAGTATAAGTGCTCGCTTATGTGTTTTATGTGTATATATATATATACATATATATATATACAGTGCGTTGTCTTGTTTAAAACATTCCGCATCATAATATTTAATTTGAATATTCATTCACATTTCGTAACATTTGTTCCATCATTCACTTTACTGGCGAAGCACTTGCTTTCCGCCGCTTGCTATATACTTACTATACATTTTCCTTAATAACTTAATGCATTTCTTTTTATTACGGTTAACACACATTACAGCATAACCTTCAACGTCATTCAAGTTAAGACTTTTTCATTCGCAGGTGAGCCACGTTTCGTTCTACTTGTCTCTCTTTCTCTTATTCATTCTCTATGCTTATCGTCCGGTATAACTGTTCATTAGAATAATGCGATCAGTAACGAGCAATAATAAAACCTGAATAAATTACTCTCTAAATCTAATGAAAGAAAGAGATAGATAAATGAAGAGAAATTTCTAATTGATGCGTTGCATAATAGTGCGCACGTTTGCGCACAAATGTGTGTTCCACTTGATGGATTCTTTCTTCCTTTAATGGTTGAACATTTTCATATTTGGTGTTTTGAAAAATTGCCCATAACAACAGGGAACAGATCTCATTATAAATCACATCATTAAGATTTATAAGCATCGCTTCATTCTTATTCCCGTTGTTAGCTTATTTTTATTGCTCTTGAATATATTACATTCGAATAGAGCAGAGTATTATGATCTCACGATTATATTGGTCTTTTACGCCTATATTTATAGTTTTACTTCACTTATGCCCTACAAAAGC